ACAGGTTACTCCAGAGGCACCTGCACACCCATGTTTATTGCGGCACTATTCACAATAATCAAGTTATGGAAACAGCCAAGATGCCCCACTACTGACGAATGGATTAAGAAAATGTGGTATCTATACACAATGGAATTTTATGCAGCCATGAAGAAGAACGAAATGTTATCATTCGCTGGTAAATGGATGGAATTGGAGAACATCATTTTGAGTGAGGTTAGCCTGGCCCAAAAGACCAAAAATCGTATGTTCTCCCTCATATGTGGACATTAGATCAAGGGCAAACACAACAAGGGGATTGGACTTTGAGCACATGATAAAAGCGAGAGCACACAAGGGAGAGGTGAGGATAGGTAAGACACCTAAAAAATTAGCTAGCATTTGTTGCCCTTAACACAGAGAAACTAAAGCAGATACCTTAAAAGCAACTGAGGCCAATAGGAAAAGGGGACCAGGAACTAGAGAAAAGGTTAGATCATAAAGAATTAACCTAGAAGGTAACACCCACGCACAGGAAATCAATGTGAGTCAATGCCTGTATAGCTATCCTTATCTCAACCAGCAAAAACCCTTGTTCCTTCCTATTATTGCTTATACTCTCTCTACAACAAAATTAGAAATAAGGGCAAAATAGTTTCTGCTGGGTATTGAGGGGGTGGGGGGAGAGGGAGGGGGTGGAGTGGGTGGTAAGGGAGGGGGTGGGGGCAGGGGGTGAAATGACCCAAGCTTTGTATGCACATATGAATAATAAAAGAAAAAAAATCTTATTTCACATGAAAACTCAGGTTTCTGGCCCAGGTGATCCTGGAACCACTATCTTCCTGCCTTAGCCTCCTGAGTGCTGGGATTACAGGCATGTACTGCCATACCCAGCCATCTTTTCTTCCTTAATGTTATATAAAATATGGGTGTTACTTATAGTTAGAAGTATGGTGTTGGGCTTTTTTCCCCAAGTCCCACCTGCCAACAGTTGTCTGGAGCTGAATAGAAGTTATCCCCTGTACCTGAGCTCTGGCCTTACCTGAACCACCTTACCCATTAATTACATCTACTTGGTCATTAGCCATTTGAGCTTTTGACTCCTGTCTATAAGGGGAACCATGACCCATAACAACTTATATTACCCCAATCCATAGTTAAATGGTATCTAACTCTGTTTCCACAAATAATGTTGTGAAAGTGTTCTTTTATGTGTTTTTTTGTGGGTTCATGCAGAGATTTCTCTGGGAACTACAACCAGGAGTGGATTGTTCAGGAAGGAAGGAGGGAAGGAAGGAGGGAGGGATGGCTGGCATAGGGTCTATGCCATCAGACTGCTTTCCTGAATGGCTGAATGACTTTTTACTTCTTCCAGCAATGCATACCTACATTCTCACCAACTTTCTTACTTTTCCTCATCTGAAAATGTAGCTTAGTATGCTGTTGTTTTACTTTGAGTCTTTCCAATTGTCAGTGAATTCAAGCACCTCTTGATAGTCTCCTCAGTTACGTAGATTTCATTTTTTGCCAGTTTTTCAATTTTTCTTTTTGCTTGTGAATTTTAGGAGTTCTGTGTATGTAGTAGATGCTGTAATGGTCTGGTTGGTTGCTTTCTCCCAGTTTTACTGTTCACTTTGTCAGTGGTATGCTTCACCTAATTTGCTCTAATGTTGTTTTATTCTATTGGGTCTTCTATGTAAATATCATCCACATGTGGTGACAGGTTAATTTCCTCCTTTTATTCATACCAATTTGTTTTTCTTTTATTGTGACACTGATAAAGATCCCTTGAGCCATGTAAAAGTCACAGGATAGTGAACATCACTGATGGGTTTGGGATCCTGAAAATCCTTTTGATGTTACCTTCCCGATTAGGCCACCTGGACCACCTTATTTAAAATAAGCACTCTTCACACACATGTACATACATGCTGATAGCCCTTACCAACTTCAGTGATTTCTTTTTTCCTTAGTAAATGTTATCTTCTAATGTATTGTTCACTTATTTATTTATAGCTTATCTACATCAGGTGGTTACATATGTTTATATATAATTGTATATTTTTATATACTACGTAACTTATTTACTTTATATTTGGTATATATATAGCAGGTGGTTTTATATGTAATTATCTATTTTATATAAATGTACATGTAAAACCATCTGTTCCATCTAGTAAGTTACATGATTGGAACATAGTAGACACTCAGTTGCAGACTTTTGCTATATAGCTTTTATCAAGTAGGAATTTGCCTTTATCTCTTAGCCAACAACCTTTAATATTAGATATAGAAATTTATAATGTTTTTTCTGCACTTACTGAAATAAACATGATTTCCCTCTTTAATCTGTTAATTAATGATTTACACTTAGAAATTTACCTGTTGTGCTCCTTGTATGTTGGGATAAATTGTTCTTGATCAGTTGCCTGTGGAGAGCTAATATTGCATTCAGCTTTTTCAAATCTGTGCTGAGAGATCACAAGGGCTCATTTTGTGGTTATGGCATCAAGGATACACTAGCCTCATAAAATAAGTTGGCAGCATTCCCTTTTTCTGGTTTCTGAAACAACTTGTACAACAAGGAAGATCTGTTCCTTGAAAGCTTGTGAGAACTCTTGTAACAGTGTCTGGGCTTGGAGCTGTACGGAGGAGGATGAGGGTAAATGTCTTTGATTATCATTTTAACATTGAAGTACTGTAGGTCTATTCAAATTTTCTCGACCTTTTGTGACCATTTTGACACCTCTGTTTTTAAAACTATTGCCATATTTTGATTGTATTTTATATTTAGAAACTCTGTTGTATCTAGTTATTTCTCCTGTGTGTTTTTATATATAGATGTGCATTTATGTATGTGTATATATATATTGGTAGTACTAGGGTTTGAACTCAAGGCCTTATGCTTGCTAGGCATATAGTCTACCATTTAAGTCAAGCCCCTTGCATTTTTTGCTTTAGTTATTTTTCAAGTATGGCCTTGCATTTTTTGCCAGGACTGGCCTGGACTGCTATTTTACTTAAGCTTCCTGCTACTGGAACCACAGAAAAGTGCCACGATGGCCCAGCTTGTTTTGTTGTTGAAATGAGGTCTCACTTACTTTTTGTGAGACCCCAGGTTGGCCTCCAACTCCTCCCAATCTCTGCCTCCCAAGTAGCTGGGATTATAGGCATGAACTACTGTGCCTGACCCTCATTCTATTTTTTAAATTTGTATATCTTTTTTTTTTTCCCAGTCAGGTTTGTGAGAGATTTAAGAACCAATTTTTAGTTTTATTAATCTGTTGCCTCTGTTCTGTTTTTCTTTGACTTTTTCCTTTGTACTTCCTTCTGCCTTTTTTGGATTTGCAATGATGTACTTTTTTAAAATGTCTTTAATGCTTAGGTCATGGTTTTCTGATAAATGCATTTGAAGATATGTTTCCCTCTTAGTCTTATATTCCTCAAATTTTGACATAAATTTTTGTTTCATAATTTTCTTTTTTGGGGGGCAGTACTGGGACTTGAACTCAGGGTCTATACATTGAGCCACTCTATCAGCCCTGTTTTGTTTTGGGTATTTTTGAGATAGGGTCTCTCAAACTGTGCCCCGGCTAGCTTCGAACCTCAATCTTCCTGATCTCTGCCTCCTGAGTAGCTAGGATTGCAGGTGTGAGCCACTGGCAGCCAGCTTATAATTTTCTTTTTGATGAAGGGTTATTAGTATAATATATCTTTATTTCTAGACATAATGATGTCTTTAAAAACTTTCCTTTTTTCAGGTTCTGGTGGCTCATGCCTGTAATCCTAGAAACTCAGGAGGAAGAGATCAGAAGGATTGTGGTTTAAGGCCAGGCTGGGCAAATAGTTCTGGAGATCCTATCTTGAAACTACTCAACACAAAAAAAGGGCTGGTGGAGTGGCTCAGGTGGTAAACTACCTGCCTAGTAAGCATGAGGCCTGAGTTCAAACACCAGTACTGCCAAAAAAAACGAACAATTTTCATTTTGCCAGGTGTGGTGATGCATGCCTGTAACCTCAGCACTCAGGAGATAGAGGCAGGAGGATTACAGTTTGAGGGTAGCCTAGGCTACATAGTGAGACTCTGACAGAAAGTGTCAGAAATACTTCCTTTTGTTGTCATTTGAATGAGCTCCAGCAATAATTAATAATTCACATCCTCCTTTGTGTACCTTCAAAATTTTAAGTATATTGAATTGAATCTAAGATGCAATGGATTATAAGGTAAAACATTATTTTAAGGAATAAAAATAAGGATGAAGAAAAATAAACGAATTAAATTATAACAAATACTTTCTTATTTAGATATTTTGTACTTATTGATAGAGTTCTTTATTGATAAATTGTTTTTTCTTTTTTGGCAGTACTGAGATTGAACTCAGGGTTTCATGCTTGCTAGGCAAGTGCCCCAGTCCTTTTTGATTTTAGTTTATTTTTCAGATAGGGTCTCGCTAACTTTTGCCTGGACTATCCTCCAACAGTGATCCTCTTGTCTCTGCCTCCTTAGTATCTGGGATACAGGCTTATGCCACCTGATTTATGTGCCACATAAAAGTCTTTTAAATGTATTTAACCATGTAAATTTTTACCATATGTCATCCTCTGCAAATATGAAAAGGAATAAAATTGCTTATATTTTTCTAAAATTTTACCACTGCCACCTGGCAGTGGTAAATTTTTCCTGGTTGTAATGCAGATGCATCCAAATTTCAGTGTTAAAATGTAAAAAAAGATGTAGGTCTTAGAATCAATGAAATAAGATTTATTTTAATAGCAAGTATTGAAAGCTATATATATTTTGTAAACCACGTGAGAGTGAAATGTATAGGCATTAACACAATGATAGCTAAAGAAATCTTTTTGATTTTAGGAAATTAAAACATCCTTTCACCTTAAGGTCTCAAAAAAAAGAAATTAATCCTTTTAATGGGAGAAACCAAGCACAATTATTATTGTGTGAAAATTGAATTAACACATCACACTAATAAGATAGCCTGTTTCTTTTTCCTTTTTTTCTTTTAAGGCGAAAGCAACAACAATCAAAGAAGCCTTAGCCAGATGGGTGAGTATATAAGTTTTTCCTTCTTTTAGATTATACAAGGAAAATTTGGATAGTTATTTAAATCTGACCATTCAACATAAGGGAGCTTTGAAGTATTAGAATGGTTTGACTGTCTTTTCTGTGGTGGTGGATACCTGAACCCACACAGGTGATGAATTTGTGTAGGACTTAGTAAACACATACACATAAATACATACTCATACATATCAATGAGTACAACTAAATGTGGAGAAATCTGAATAAAATTGATGGTTTATATCAACAGTAATACCCTAGTTATGATACACTGTTATGATATACTATAGTTTTGCAGAATATCGCCATTGAAGGAAACTACAAAAAAAATTTGTATTTTTTTTTTCTTGTTTCTTTCCTTCTTCTTTTTAAAAAATTTTTCCCAGTACTGGGAATTGAACCAGGGCATCTTCATAAAAATTTCAATGAAAAGCTGGGCACCTGTGACTCAAGTCTGTAATCCTAGCTACTTAGAAGGCAGAGATCAGGAGGATTATGGGTCAAGCCAGCCTGGGGAAGTAGTTCCTGAGACCCTATCTTGAAAATACCCAATACAAAACATGGCTGATGGAGTGGCTCAAGTGGCAGAGTGCCTGCCTCGCAAGTTTGAGGCCCGGAGTTCAAACCCCAGTTATACACACACACACACACACACACACACACACACACACACATACATTTAATAAAATGTTCTGACTACTGGAAAAATTTAAATATGGAAAGGCTGATTCATCTACTGCTCTAAAACGGCTGGATGTTTGTGCTAAGGTACATTTTCTTTTTCAGCTTCATCATTAGACCATATATCATTTTCAAGTGATAGAGTGGCATGTTTTGTGGGTTTTCTAGGCTTTAATCAGATGATGTTCTTAGTCTGCTGTAGGTTAGAACAGATAGCCAATTCAGACAAATGTAAATCGTACATAGATAACTGGAAAATCATGGAGTAACATACTAAAGCCTATGTTAGAAAGAAAACCACATTGTCAAAAACATGGTAAACATGGACCATAAGTATTTTGAATATCATAACATTCTATAGTTTGAACAGTTGTAATTCGGGGTCTTAGGATTTCCATAGGGTACATAGTTTCTATGAGAACTTGTCTATGCTATGTAGTTTGTTACATAATAATGAACCTTTTGCTTTTGTAGCTAGGCATTCAGAAGCTTTAGTGTCTAGGGAAAATAGACAAAAGTGGATGGAGTAATGAAATATTTGAATTCTTGTTGTAATGCTTATAAATTTCTTATTTACTCAAATTGCATTTTAAAGATTCATTTCTGGGCTGGGCGCTGGTGGTTCATGCCTGTAATCCTAGCTACTCAGGAGGAGGATCATGATTGGAAGCCAGCCTGGGCAAATAGTTCTCAAGACCCTATCTCAAAAACACCCAACACAAAAAAGGACTGGCAGAGTGACTGAAGTGGGAGAGTACCTGCCGAGCAAGCATGAGATCCTGAGTTCAAATTCCAGTGCCATACCCCCCCGCAAAAAAATTCATTTCTATTGGATTAGAGTTTTAATAAAAATATTTTTGTTAGAGAAAAAAAATTATGGCATAGACTCAGATTTGATTTTCCTTTAATTTGGATTTTAGGACATCTTATCTATTTGTAATAATTAGGTTTTTTGTCTTGTTTTAGTTTGGTTTGTAGATTCTGTTTCTAGTTTTTGTTTATTTGTTTTCTTTTCTAGTTTATATTATGGCCATTAGTCTTTAACTTCAAGATTACGGGAAGGCATCAAGCTCACTCATTCGATAGCCCAACACTTTTTACTGTTTAAAAATATCTTAACTAACACATAATTGTACATATTTACAGGGTACACTGTGACATTTTGATACATGTCTACAACATATAATCATCAAATCAAGCTAATTACCATATCAGCACCTCAAACAGTAATCACTGCTTTGTGGTAGAACATTCAAAATCCTCTCATAGCTATTTTGAAATATATAATTCATTATTGTGTAATAACACTGGAATTTATTCCTATCTAACTGTAATTTTGTACCCATTAACCAATTTCTCCTTGTCTTTTCCTGCCTACTTTGGCTAGTTTCTGGTAACCACTGTTCTATCTCAACTTCCGTATACAAGTGAGAGAATGCAGTATTTTATCTTTCTGTCCCTGGCACGTTTCACACAAAATGAATGAATCCTCCAAGCTCATCCATGTCACACTAACCCAACATTTATTGAAGATCTACTAGGTGTCAGTTTCCTCTACTATAACCTGCAAATGTATGATGCAAAATAAGACTGAATGTGTGTATATGAGATCTTATTCTTTCAGTAGATTGTATATTTTCTACTGTTGATATGTGATGATTTGACTTTAATCAAATGAGCCTTTTTGTGTCATACACTGTGCTAGGTTGCAGAAAACACAGAAAAGCAAAGGAAATAGTCCCTCAGCTTAAAGTTTTGTTGGAGAGAACTAACTCTAAGTAATGAAATGCTTCAAAAATATTCATAGGCAGTATAGACTGGTCATTAAATTTTAAATTGTATGCAGAGTAATGAAATTACACTGTAGGGTAGGATTTAGTAGTGAGTTAGAATAGAGCAGATAGCTTTAACCTCAGATGTACTGTAAAGAGCATGTCTTAAAATTCGTGGTATTTGGGGGTTCTAGCTCAGGCTGAACTGTGTATAGAGAAAAGAAGACAGAATAATCTTACAGGTCTGAATCTGATTTTTAAGAAATGGCTGTTTAGGGACAAGGAATTCTTTTTAGGATAATATTTTTGTTGGGTTATGTTTGTGTTTATTAGTTGGTAGACTCTTAAATGATTTAAAATATTGTAAATATATAAGTTTCTTTATTTTCCCTTCATTTGCCTTTAGTAGGGATTTAACAGTTATCTAATACAGCTAGGTAAAAGACTGGTTATTAGGGTCAGCAAGTAAAGGAACCAATAAGTGAATGATGAATAATTAGTAATCAGTTATTAAATTCTCATAATCATTTTGAAATAAACATTAAAAGGCCTTGGGAAATTCTGGCCTCTTTTGTTCCACATTACATCCAGGTAACATTTTGTATCAAATTTGTTTTTCTTATAGGAAGAGAAAACTGGTCAGAGGCCATCTGAAGCCAAAGAGATAAAGCTTTACGCCCAGATTCCCCCAATAGAGAAGATGGACACATCTTTGTCCATGCTTGCTAACTGCGAGTAAGTTCTTTGCCATACTTCTAGTATTCCTGTAAGTTTTCCTTCCTTTTCTTACACAAACTCGAAAAATGTTTGCTTTTGGTGATACTCTTTTTTTTGTGTGTGTGTTTATTTTATTTATTTATTTTTATTGTTTTATTATTCGTATGTGCATACAAGGCTTGGGTCATTTCTCCCCCCTGCCCCCACCCCCTCCCTTACCACCCACTCCGCCCCCTCCTTCTCCCCACCACCCCCTCAATACCCAGCAGAAACTATTTTGCCCTTATCTCTAATTTTGTTGAAGAGAGAGTATAAGTAATAATAGGAAGGAACAAGTGTTTTTGCTGGTTGAGATTTTTTTTATTCTAATTCTCCCTTTGGCAAAGACAAGCATGAAAGACTATTGGTTTATAGGATTATTGACAGTATTATTGAATAGTACAGTATTTTTTTAGTACAGTTTTTATAATGTGTTTGGATATAGAAATTTCCTAGTCTTTTGGGAGAAGCTAAATAACACAATAGACTATTGCTCTGTCATAACATACAGTGATTTCTAGGCCAGGTATGGTGGTACACATCTGTCATCCCAACTACTTGGGAGATCAAGGTTGAATGGAGCATTAGGCATTTCAGCCCAACCTGGGCAACTTAGTAATATCCTGTCTCGAAATAAAAATTTAAGAAAAGGACTGGGGGTCTACCTCAGTGGTAGATTACTTACTTACTACATGCAATGCCCTAGGTTCAATCCCCAGGAACACTCTCCCCCCACACACAAAAATTATCTAATTTTTCTCATAAAATTATCACCAAAGTTAAAATCATAGTTAGTGAATGCCTAAAATATACCCCTTTAAAAAAAAACTTATGATACATTGCAAAACTTCTAGAAAATATAAAAAGCAAAAAGAAAACAAATTAACATCAACCTAAATTATAATACATTGCAGAACCTGTTTCATCAGTCTTTTGATGTAGAGCTGATTTTTTTAAAAAATTCTAACTGGGATCATATTATTCTCATTTTGTAATCCCATTTCCCATGCCTTTACATATCAGATGTATTTTAATTCTTTTAAATCTACTTTCTAATACTCTGCACAGTTTTTAGCAGGATTCCGTGGCTAATTTGAGGCAATTATACCATAATGCCTCATAACCATGTTTTCAGGCAGCTCCATTGTCTCCTTTAGAATCCCAGAGGTTTTCTGACTCCTTCACCTGTGTTTGTCTAATTGTGACTCCTTTACCACCTGCTCTTTTTGCAGGAGATAAGCCCCATCCCAATTTTATAGAAACAGTGTATCTCCTAATGAAACTGTGTTTACAATAAACTACTTGGGTGGTTCTCAGACACCTATACTTAGACAGATACATGTATTTGGGATTGAAAGGAAAAGCAAACAGATTTAGTCATTGTGTGTAAATTTTCATTGCTCTTTTTACTGTATCATGTGAAAATCTACCTTGGGATATTTTTGTTTGTTTTTTGGCTTCAAGCATGATTTTATAGTGGTCAAATATCTTTTTATCATAAAGCCATCTCAAATTCAAACAAATTTGAGAGGTTTTGTACACCATAATAAAGTGCCTTAGAAACCACACAGAAAGAGTCAACCTGGTCATATTATTGTCCACAATCTCTTTGAATAGGTTACCTAAATAAGAATTAAAGAATTACTTTCTAACCATATTCCTAGATTTAAAGGCACTCTGTTTTTTTCCACTGGTAGTTCTCAAGAGTGGGGGATACTAGAAAATATGCAGATTTGATCAATTATTTACACTATATAGTAATTGCTTTTGCTTTTTCAAGCAGATAAAAAATGAATAATTCCTCTTCAAGTCAAATCATAAGGGTAAGATACATGCTCTAGAGTCAAACTTACCTGGATTTTAATTTTGGCCCTATCACTTTGTAACTTATAATAATAAGGAAATTGCTTAACATCTTTGTGCTTCACCTTTACATTTATAAAAATGGCTAATAGTAATATTCATCTCAGAAGATTGTGGAATACTGGGTCAAAGAATATACACATTAAAAAATTTAATAGATAACACCAAATTTCCCTCAAAAAGGTTTTTGATTTTCTACAATGAGCACATACTAACTTTTATAATCAAAGGGGAAAAAGATTTCAAAATGAATGAATAAATTCCATGACTGAAGGGGAGAAAAGAATTCAGAATAAAAAATAAACATGATGTAAACATTGTCTTCCATGGGCAGTACTGTTGAGGAAATTTCTGATATACCATTTCAGTTTTTCATATTAATTCAAACTTTTCTTTTTTAAAGGAAACTTTCACTGTCTACAAACTGCATTGAAAAAATCGCCAACTTGAATGGCTTAAGTAAGTGATCTACAATAACAGATGTTTCTTGGATTTTTTGGTTATTAGAATAAACATTTCAGAGACACTAGATAATTCCAGAAGCTGGCACCTGTTTTAATGGCAGTGATTGTCATATAACAGAGAGAATATGTAAACCACAATCTTAAGTTTGCTTATTCAAAGGAAATTAGAGATAACATGAGAAATGAAAATTTTAAAGGTTTTATATATAGAGTTAGAATCAAGATGACTTAAATAGAAAATCAGATTTTTATATTTCTTGTTCAGATTTATCTTGTATGTATTTCAAACTGGTTTTATTTAAATTTTAATTCCTCACTGTCTGTTTTTCCTGTGCTCCTTGTCCTTGGTAATAATATCACCACCCTAACCCTACCCACCAAGGCAATTAGTTTCTAGTGACTGCTGTAACTTGGTGCTTAAAACGGAAATTTTATTCTCTCATGGTTTTGCATTTGGAATTCTGAAGTCAGTTTCACTGGGGCAAAAAATCTAGCCATACTTAGGCCTTCTGAGGCTTTGAGGGAGAATCTTTTTCTTGCCTGTTCCATTTTCTGATGGCTGTCACATTCCTTGGCTTCTCATCATCATGCCAATTTCAGTCTCTATGGTCACATCTCTGCTTCCCTTATGAAGACATGCACACACATGCATTCAGGGCATACCCGGATATTGAGGATAATTTCCCCATCTCTAGATCTTTAATTTAGTCACATCTGCACAGTACTTTTTGCTTTATGAGGTAATATTCACAGGTTCCAGAGATTGGGATGCAGGTATCTTTTGGAGAGCCATTGTTTAGCCTACAATACTCTTTTCTTCCCTTAAGCCTTACTCCAAGTTCATCACTATGTCTTTGTGTGTGTGGGGGGGGGTACTGAGGCTTGAACTCAGGGCCTTCACCTTGAACCACTCCACCAGTCCTTTTTTGTGAAGGGTTTTTTTTCCCCAGGATAGGGTGTGGTGAACTTTTACCCTGTGCTGGCTTCAAACCACGATCCTCCTGATCTCTGCCTCTTAAGTAGCTAGGATTACAGGTGTGTGAACCACTCGTGCTCGGCACTGTCTTCTTAATTCTTGTCTTTGAAAGAGTTCCCAAATAAATTTGGTGCTTTTCCATTTTCAGGAGCTACAATCCTTCGATCATGTTTTTAAACATTTTTGGCCACTTTCTATAGTAACTATAGTAAATATATTTGTAGCAGGTGCGAGGCCCTGAGTTCAATTCCCTAGTGCTGAAAAAAATTTGAATTCATTATACATTCATATGCATATACATATAAAATGTACACATACACATAATAACTGGAATAAAGTTTATAAAACAATACATACTGTATAGTTTGAGAAAAACTGCCTGATGACGTGTTATAACCTAATTGATCTCCTGTCTTCTGACTTCCCATCCCTCATTCTTCTTGACCTTGATCACTGATACTAAGTTCTTTCCTTTCTAAAAATACCATTTTATATCATTTTCCCAGAAAATGCATAATTTTCTGGAAAACTTCTTAATGGATCTTCTTTGCCTAGTAAAGACCCAATACCTAAAATTGTAATCTTTGTACCACCTTAGTCACACCCAAACATACAATTCTTTTTAATGATTTCATTTGTTAATGCAGTGCATTCATTGAGGATTGCCCCTTCTCTCAGAGGAAAAATCACATAAGAAATAAAAGATTAGACAGTACCAGTGGCTCACACCTATAATCCTAGCTACTTGGGAGGCAGCGATCAGGAGGATTGAAGTTTGAGGCCAGCCTGGGCAACAAAAGTGAGCCCCTATCTCAAAAACACTTAACATGAAAAAGGGCTGGTGAAGTGACTCAAGGGGTAGAGTACCTGCCTAGCAAGCACAAAGCCCTGAGTTTAAACTGCCCTTCCCCCCAAAAAAGGAAATTAAAGATTAGCCAGCAGTGATACATGCCTGTAATCCCAGCTATTTGGAAGGTAGAGATATGGAGGGCCAAGGTTCAAGGCTACCCCATGGAAAAAGTTAGGCCCTTTGTCAACAAACAAAGCTGGGTGTGGGTGGTGCCTGCTTTTAATCCCAGCTCAGGCCAGCCCCTATCTGAAAAATAACCTAAAAACAAAAAGATCTTGCCCATATAGTAGAGTGCTTGAGGTTCAAGTTCAAACTCTGGTACTGCCAGAAGAAAAAAGGGATAGAAAGAAAGATTAAGAATGCTACTTTTGAACTGGGTGCCAGTGGCTCAACCTTTTTAATCCTAGCTACTTGGGAAGCTGAGACTGGAAGGATCTAGGTTCAAGGCCAGCCCGGGCAAATAGTTCATGAGACTCCCATCTCCAAAATAACCAGAGCAAAATGAACTGGAGATACGGCTCAAGTGGTAGAGCAACTGCTTTGCAAGCACAAAGCCCTGAATTCAAACTAGAATGCCACATTTGAATGTTATCTCCCCCTCTAAAGACTTCCCTAATCTCCATCATCATTATTATTTTTTTCTTTGAGAATATTTATAATAATCTACCTTGGATTCTAATAATAATTACCTACCTCATATGGTTATTGTGAAGATTAAATGGAATAAATTTTATAAAGTATAACACTATGCCTGGTGCATATAAAATGCTCAATAGAGCTGGGCATGGCAGCTCACAGCTATAATCCCAGCTGCTAGGGAGACTGAGGAAGGAGGGTAACAAGTTCAAGGTTAAAAATAAATTTTTAAAAAAAGGATTAGGAATGTAACTCCATGGTGGAGCACTTCCCTACCATGTCTGAAGCCTTGGGTTCATTCCCTAGAATTTAAGAAAAACCTGCAATAAATACTAGCCTTTACTATAGTTGGAAACATGTTCTGCTCTGTTGATAGTAAATCTCTTGAGGCAGGTATCATATCTTAGTAATCTTTTTAATTTCTGCATGAGTCACACTTTTCCTTGCTGTGATAAATACCTGAGAGAATCAGTCTAATGGAGGAAGGATTTACTTTGGCTCCTGATTTCAGTCCAAGGTTGACTGGATCTATTGCTTTGGGTCTGAGGTGAGGCAGAACATCATGGAAGAAGGGCATGGCAGAGGGAAGCAGAGAGACAGGAAGGTTCCTGGGACAAATTGTATCATTCCAGGGCATGCCCCAAGTGACCCAGTTCCTCCAACTTCACACCACCTCCCAATAATGCTATCATTTTAGGAATCCATCAAGGGATTCATCCATTGGCGAAGTTAAAGCCCTCATGAGCCAGTCGCCTCTCAGTGATTGAATCTACCAGGTGGGCCAAGCATTCAATATCTGAGCCTTTTGGGGAACAGTTAGTTCATATTCACACTACAACATTTACCCTTAGCTCCCAAAATGCTCATATCCATCTCACAACGCAAAGTACATTTGCTCTAAGACTGAGCCCCCCATAGTCTTCACAGTTCCAGTATTGCTCAAAAGTTCAACTCCAAAGTCTTCTCCGAGACCCATGGCAAACTAATCTGTGAGCCCCTATAAAAATAAAAAATGGAGTTACATATTTCCAACATACAATATGGGATACAGCAAACATTCCCATTTCATTTGTTTCCTTTTATTCCCTTATGTGTGGTACTAGGGATTGAACTCAGTACCTTGCACTTTGCTGGGAAGTCACTCTACTACTTGAGCCACTCTGCCAGCCCATTTTTTTTTCTAGCCCTGGGGTTTGAACCCATTCCCAAAAGGAAGCCAGGTGCCAGTGGCTCATGCCTGTAATCCTAACTACTCAGAAGGCAGAGCTCAGGAGGATTGCAGTTTGAAACCAGCCCAGACAAATAGTTCCATAAGACCCTATCTTGAAAAAACCCTTCACATAAAAAAAGGACTAGGGGAGTGGTTCAAGGTGTAGGCCCTGAGTTCAAGCCCCAGTAGTGAAAAAAAAAAAGGATTGGGGACATAGTAAAGAAAAAAAGATGGGACCAAAGCAAGACCAAAACCCAGCAAGGCAAACAATAAATCCTGTATCTCCATGTTTGGCATCCAGAGCATGGTGGGATGTGAGCCCCAGAGGTCTTGGGCAGCCCAAGACCTCTTAGGCTGTCTCTGCTCATTGCCCACAGCTCTTCTTGGCAGACATCCCACATTCCTGGTATCTCTGACTTCCTGTGGGCTCCATTGCATTTTCTGCATCACTCTCACAGCTTCACTCATTACCTTCTCAAGGGCTATTCACAGAGCTTCTGCTACACATTGTCTGGTCTTCCAGGCTTTCCTTTAAAATCTGGTGGAAGCCTCTATGACCCCACAACTCTTGCCTTCTGCAGGTCTTCAAAACCAGCATCACGTGGATGATGCCAAGATCTGCTACCAGTTCAAGCAGTATGTAGCCAAGTCCCCTTAGACCATGGCTGCAGCAGCCTCTGAGTACCTGGTGGCTGAGCAGGTGAAATGAATCCTAAGGAAATTTTCTGGGCCACTTTGTGCCAGCAGGGTGCCCTAGCAGTCCTCTCTTTTCAAGAGAAAGTCTTTTAAATGAGTTTACACTTTTATGCCCTTGAAACTTCCATTGGTGGAGTCTTAGTAATTCCTGAAATGGCCTCAGGCATTTTTTTGTATTGTACCAGTGCAATCAGATTTCTCTAGAAATCTGGTTTCCTTTGCCCCAACATACAGACTTTTCTAATCAGACTGCAAGTTTTTCAAAGCTTTCCACTCTGATTTGTGCTCCTTATTTTCACCGTAAACCTGTCTAAAAGCAGCCAGCAACACAGGCTGAATCCTGGGCTTCCTTGAAATTTCCTCTGCTAGATTTATTCCATCACCTACAAATTCAGTCTCCTGCAATGTCCCAGGGCATGGACAAGTATAGACAAGTTCTTTACCACAAAGTAACATGCATGACATCTAGCCCAGTTCCCAATAGAGTCCTTATCTCCATCTGAAACCTCATGGACCCAGACTTTACATCCACATTTCTATCAGCATTACCATCTTTTGAGCTCTCACCAGAATTCCCCATTGAGCTCCCCTTGCAGTGACTTTCATCTAGCCAACTTTTCCAATTTTGTCCCACAAACCAGTTCCAAAGACTTCTGAACCATGTTGCCAGACAGTCACAGCAATGACCCCACTTCTCTGGCACCAGTTTTCTGTGTTAGACTTTTCATCACTGACAAAATACCTGAGAGGAACAAGGGAAGAAAGGTTTATTTTGGCTCACTGTTTCAAAGGGCTTCATGGTCAGCTGGATCCATTGTTTCTAGGCCTGTGGTGATGCATCGTGGCTGAAAGACATGGTGGAGCAGAGCTGCTCACCTCATGGCATCCAGGAAGCAGTGAGACAGGAAGGGGCCTGGACAAGGTATATCTTTCCAGGGCAACCCTTCCCCCAGCACCTCCACCTGTGACTCACATTTTCCAAGTAGGCCTCACCTTTACTTTCCACCACCTCCCAGTAATACCATCAAAGGATTAATCAGCTGATGAAATCAGGCACTCATGGTCCAGCCACTTCCCCAAAAGCCCTACCTCTGAACACTGCTGCCCTGGGAACCAGTAATTTAATACATGAGCCATATTGGGGGGCACTTCATATCCCAAACTATAAGATCTTCTGTTCCATTCCCACTCTACCTTACTGAGTGTTGACATTCCATAGTTTTACAGTGCTGGAGAGTTAACTGTTAGAGTTGTGTATGAAATAACTCTCTCTGTTTCAGCTATTTGCTAAACTCATCAAACATTTTAGATTATTTCTTTTTATTCTCTTCCTCAGTTTTTTTGAGTAATTGAAGCAGTTTGCTCAATTAAGTCCATATTGATATCACATTATTTGTCATAACAGATTATATGCTTTTCTTTTCATAAAAACTTGACTATGATAATAGGGAAAATGGATGACCTTCTACATAGGGCTGGAAGTTTTTTAACTCACATTCTAACTGGTCAGTTGGTAATGACTTTCAAGAAAATTATATTAAGCATTCCAGAAATTCAGTGTCCTGATCAATGGTTGATGTCTGCTGTAAACATGGAATGAGAAAATAGAGGCCTTTGCTGCACTTGACTCATTCTAGTGCTGCTTGTAATAAATATTACCTCTGCAGTCTGTGGCTGAGAAATACATTTTATCTGTGATGGTAAAGCAAAAAATAGCTACCTAATGCATATGAAAGGCTCTTGGTTTGACTTCTCTCTATGTCTTCACATGGTTTTTCTCCTATATCTATCTGTGTCCCTAATTTCTTCTTCTTATAAGGACAATAGTCATGCTTGATTGGTGCCTACACATATGAACTTATTTTACCCTATTTATCTCTTTCAAGACCCTATTTTCAAGTTCAGTCACATCCTAAGACACAGGCAGTTAGGATTTAAGCATATGAACTTTGAGGAGGACACAATTTAGGCCATAACATGGAGTCACACTGTAACAGGTAAACCATTTTGCATAAATTAGATTACTTTTTTAAAATACCCTGTTCTGGCTAGGCATGAAGATTCACATTTGTAATCCTAGCTATTCAGGAAGCAGAGATCAGGAAGATTGTCATTTGAGGCCAACCTAGGCAAAAAGTTAGCAAGACCCCTTCTCAACCAATAAGCTGGACTTGGTAGCATGCAGCTGTCATCCCAGCTACCCTGGAGGCATAAATAGGAGAATTGTGGTCCAGGCTAGTGGCCTGGGCAAAAACTGTGAGACCCTGTTGGAAAAATAATTAAAGCAAAAAGAGCTGTGGGCATGGCTCAGGTCGTAGAGCACCTGCCTACAATTGCATTCAATTCAATTGAGTTCAAGCCCCAGTACCACACACACACACACACAAAAGTCTGGGACTAGGGGCATGGCTCAAATGGTAGAGCACTTAAATTTAATATTGGTATGATGTGGTAGCAAGCATGAGAGTTCAATCCCCAGTACTAGGGCTGGCAGAGTGACTCAGAAGGCTGAGCATCTGCCTAGCAAGCGTGAGGCCCTGAGTTCAAACCCCAATACCGCCCTCTCCCTAAATCAAAACAATTCCCAGTACTAAAATAAATAAGTGAAAACGAAAAACCAAAAGCCAGAACTTGTTCTGAAAGTTCAATATTTCTCATAGGAGAATTTAAAACAATTTATTAAATGAATTAAAACCAAAGCTTTATGTGCCTGTTACATATACATGTTACTTATTGTGTACTTTCAACAGATTAGGAATTTTATTGAATATGTTAACTACCTCATTTAATCCTTATATTCTTCTAAGAATATACATCTGCCATCCTACATATAGTAAAACTGAGATTCAAAGAGGAAAGAGGTTTGGTTGCTTCCCTAGAGTGGGAAGTTGACTGGATTTGTGTTCCTACCCTTGAATTGTGAATGTTATAGACATCTGCACTCGAAATGTGGCTATGTGACTGAAAAAGTAAAATTTTAATTTAGTTAAAATTTAACTTTAATTAATTTAAAATAATGTGGCTAGTATTTCTTTCTTTTTTTTTTTTTTGTGGTACTGGGTTTGAACTCAGAGCCTACGCCTTGAGCCACTCCACTAGTCCTTTTTTGTGCTGGGTTATTTTCAAGATAGGGTCTCACAACTGTTTGCCTGGATTAACTTCGGACCAAGATCCTCCTGATCTCTGCCTCCTGAGTAACTAAGATTACAGGCATGAGCCACTGGCACCTGGCCTAAATGTATTTCTTATTCAAAAGTAATCACAGTATTTTCTTAGAACAGAAGTGAAGATTCCTCTCTCTTACTAAAAATCTTTTTGCTTTAATTTGGAAAAATAATGTATGCACATGGTTTTACTGAAATTGTTCAAAAGAGATTACAATGAAAAATAAATCTTCTGACCAGTTCCTTCCTAAAGGCAACAATTGTTTGTACTTTCTTTTTTCTCTTCCTGAAAATGCCTATAAATATACAAATAGAAAACAGTGTTTTTAAAAACTACAGGCAAACATTTTTATTTTTTTTGACCAAATCACAATCTAATTATTTGAAAGATTGAAAACAGATTTTGTTTGTTTGCTTGTTTTTGGTTTTGGTGGTAGTAGGTTTTGAACCCAGGGCCTCACTTGCTAAGCAGGCAGTTTACCACTTGAGCCATGCTTCCAGCCTGAAAACAAAATATCTTTAAATACCAAATTTATTTCATTTATCTTCTAATCCTTCATGGAATAAGGCGTGTTATACATAAAAATGTGTTTCTATTTAAGTCTTTACTATATCTTCATACGCATTTGAAATATATATATGCCCACACTTATTCAAATCTTTTCTTTTATCCCTGTAATACTTTTAACAAACCAGCAATTTAAGACCATGCACTCCAAACAGATGATCAGTTTTAAATTTAATATTTAAATTTATATCATATTTATAATAATGATATATTTATATCAGTTTTAAATTTAATATTGGCATGATGTGAAATTACACAGTTCTAGTGCTTGGCTTAGATGCTAGGTCAATGTTATTTCCTATTTGATGGCCTATTTTTATTAATGTAGTCTTTATATATAGGATATTTAGTCATAAAAATTCTTAAAGTTTTGTTATACTAGATTTGCAGTTGTGTAATATGATTCTCATAAAGAAAATGCTTTCTTTCCACTACAGAAAACTTGAGGATATTGTCTTTAGGAAGAAACAACATAAAGAACTTAAATGGACTGGTAGGTTGTTATTTTTAATTACTTTTTGAAAAAGCACACACTTTCTCTTATTATAAAAATAATATTTGTCCATTGCAGACTTTACAAAGGAAAAAGGCAAGTATAAGAAGTACCTACAAACCCCTGACAATTTAAACATGGCTAACATTTTTATTTACATCTTTTTTAACCTTCTTTTTTAATTCTTCAATGGGTATGTAGATAATGAAACCATACTATATATATTGTTTTGTATCTCTTTTTTTTTTTACTTAAGATGTAAAAAAAGACATTTTTCCATGTCATTTGTTCAGCGTATTTCCTGCGCCTACTTTAAGCCAGGCATTGGTCTAGGCACTAGGGATGGGATAGAATATAAAACAACACTTGCCCTCATAAAACTTACATTATAGTCACAGGAGACATATTAAAAGTTGTCCCTGAGGCACAATAGGGAAGATAGAGTGACAGAAGTCCCCTCTGTAGAAATGAAGATGTAGGCTACAGAGCTACCTAGCTGATGAAGGAACCAGGCCAAGGAATAGCAAGTGAAAATGTGCTAATCCTATATCTGCTTGACATGCTTGAGAGTAAGAAGAGTTGATTGCAGAAAAGAGGGTGGTCCTCAGGGATGTCGAAAGAGAGTCAGGAACCCTACTACATAAGACCTAAGAGGCCATGATAAGACATTAGATTTTTCCCTAGTGTCTTGCAAAGCCTTTGGAGGTTTTAGATCAGAAGATGAGACTTAAGTTTTTAAAATAATTTTCAATCATACCCTACTTTTTTTTGCATTTCTTGAACCCAGAGCCTTCTCAGGCATACTGGGAAAGCCCTCTACTTCAAAGATACACACCAGCCTAATGATAGCTCTTTTTAATACAGCATAATATTTTATTTTATTACCATAATTTATTTAAATCAGTTGTTTTACATATTACTTAACTTGCTCCTAGTTTGGAGTTAGTATACTCCATGCTGTGCAAAATTTCTTTTTAGCTATATTATTGCATCTATCCATGAATAATTCCTTGAATAAATTTCTTGAAAAGGAATTTCTGAGTCCAAGGTCTGAACTTCCTTTTAGACTTTTGTAAGGTGTTATCAAGCTGCCCTTTGGAAAGTTTGTAACAGTTTATAATCCCACCCAAAATATGTAAGGTTTCCCATTTCCCCATACTAACCTTGTACTTTAATTTTTTTCTTTTTGACATTATGTTTTTTGTTTGTTTTTTGGGGGGGGATAGTGGAGTTTGAACTCAGGGCCTCAAGCTTGTGAGGAACACTATCACTTGGAGCCCTCCACCAGCCCTTTTTTGTGATGGGCATTTTCGAGATAAGGTCTCATGAACTATTTGCCTGGGCTGGCTTCAAACCACGATCCTCTTGATCTCTGCCTCTTGAGTAGCTAGGATTACAGGCATGAGCACTGACGCCCAGCTTTCATTTGTTTATTTATTGGCTATTTGGATTTCCTTCCAAAGAAAGACAGATGAAACAATATTATAAAACATGGCATTTATAGGAAAGATGAAGCTAATTTCTTTTTCTTGTATCTTTTCCCCAAAAGACAATACTTAAAAAATGGTTATTGTTATATAATTCATAAATATTCTGGAGTTTTTTGCTCTTTGTTTGGTGTTTGTTTGTTTGTTTGAGACAGAGTCTTGCTATGTAGCCCAGGCTGGTCTTGAACTCAAGAATCCTCTTGCTTCAGCCTCTCTGTGCTGGGATTACAGACGTGTACCACCATGCACAAGCTGAAAATTTTTTATGGCTCTTTTCCTACCCCCATCCCAATAAATCCAACATGTGCTTCATAAGAAGCAGTAGGAGGCTGAAATTGCAGTGCTACCCAACAACTCCCCAAGACCAGCCAGGCTATTAATGACCATCCCCCATGAATAGGAGTCAGTCTTCAGAGGTTCAAGTTCAGAATTAGCTTGGATTTATTAGCCAATCTCTGAATTATTTTCCCACTTCTATGTGTCTATTTACCCACATAATGTTACTAATACATTTATAAAATTCTTGGGAATTCTTAGTGATCAGATTCTGGAGTTAGGAAAAGGGAATTTCTTCCTCCAAAACAATAACCAGCTTTCTATTAAGATTGACAAATAAAATCTCTAGTGATATATATATATATATATATATATATAAAAGTTTAATTTGTTTGATGTTTTGTTGACAAATTTAATGATATTTTCTCTCCATTGTCTGAGCCTTAGATAAGAAAGATTCAAATATAGAAACATTATTTGTAATGAGGAAAATATTAAATTATAGTATAGATATTTAGAATTTATTATATTTCAACCTAAGTATTACTTTGAATTATCTATAAAGGAAGCATTTGCAAATAAGTATACTACAGAATTTTGGGGTTCAGTATGTTAGGTGCTTGATATTTCCCCAGTATTTTCAGAATCCTAGATTCTCAAGTATTGCTGCAGAATATAATTTCTTCCATGAATGTAATAAATACTTGAAGACCACAGAAATTATGAGTATAAGATTAAAGGCATGACAGAGGTGTTGGTAGTATACTGGTTAGCATAGTTGCCTTCCAAGAATAAAGGAATGGATGGAGATAGTCTGTGAATCAACCATCACTTGTTTACATCTCTTTGCTTTCTATACACACTATCAATAACACCCAAGTTGTTTTTCTCTCCATGATATATGTGTGTGTTTGGGGTGTGTGTGTGTGTGTATGTGTGTGTGCAAAACCTTTTCTCCTTCTGCATAAACTAAAGAAAAACAAAGCTGCATGAGTTCACATACTAGTGGAATTATTCATCCATACTCACCTGCCTCATAGTATGATTTAAATAGCTGACTCAGTAAATTACAAATGATTATTGAATATGTAAAACAAAATTTTCAATTGAAGGGAAGGAGTTTACTTAGGAAGCCAGGTTTGGTGGCACATACCTGTAATCTTCTAGCACATGGGAGGTTTGGGCAGGAGAATTGAGAGGCCAGCCTGGACTATAAAGTAAGTTCCATTGAGGACAGTGTGAGCTATATAGCCAGACCCTATTTAAAAAAAAAAAAATCTAAAAATGAACAACTAAATAAACCTACTAGGAAAACTGACTAGTAAAGCAAACTATAAGTCCATTTGTGTCTGAGCTACCTCTGCCTTCCTTTCTCATCTTATTTAATAGGGTTCTTCTCCTAGTTAGTAATCTCTAGCCATCAGCCTTATTTCTCTTCCTTGAACATGCCAATTCATTCCTACCTAAGGACCTCTGTGCTTGCCTTTAAAACACTGTTACCATGGATTTCCTCTATGCTGGCTTCTTCTTAACCTTCACATCTCAGTTAGGATGTCACCCCACACAGGTGACCCAACTACCCTACCATCCTGTATCTAAACCAGCCCTCTAAAGTCAGGAATGCTGATACATATCTGTAATCCCAGCACTCAGGAGCCTGAAGCAGAAGGAGCATGAGCTCAAGACCAGGTTGGACTCTATATAAATTTTCAGGCCAGCCTGGGCTATGTAGCAAGACCATTAAAAAAAAAATTCCCAATATACCCAGCATGCAGAAGTTAAAAGCAAGCAGGAATAACTAAACTTTTATCTGATAAAATAAACTTCAAAATTAGATGAGACAAAGAAGGTCACTACATATTAATAAAGGGTGCATCCATCAGTAAGATATAATTATTCTAAATATATGTGCACTGAATGAATGTTGCTGCACCCAATTTCATAAAGCAAAACTATATGTATAGGAACAGATAGGTCTAGATACAATAATTGTGTGTGACTTCAATATCCCACTCTCATCAGTAGATAGCTCATCCAGACCAAAAAAATCAGTAAAGATGTCTCAGAGTTAAACTGTACCATAGATCAAATAGACTTAATAGATATCCAGAGTATACATTCTTCTCAGCGACCCATGGAACGTTCTCCAAAATAGATCATGTTTTAGGTTATAAAGCAAATCTTAACAAATACACAAAAAAAAAAAACCCAAAATAATTTCCTGTATTTCAACAGATCATAATGGAATAAAACTGTAAATTAATAATGAATGCATGAGCTTGAACAACACACTTTTATTCAGTTTTTTAAATTTCTTTTATTCATATGTGCATACAATGTTTGGGTCATTTCTCTCCCCCTTCCCCGTCCCCTCCTTTTCCCATGTCCCCTCCTTCTCCCCTCCTACCCCCTCGCTACCAGGCAGAAACTATTTTGCCCTTATCTCTAATTTTGAACAACACACTTTTAAATGATCATTGAAGAAATTGAGGAAATAAATTCCTAGGCTCAAATAAATTTCTAGGTTCAAATTCCTAGAATCTTTGGGACATAGCAAAAGCAATGCTAACAAGGAAATGTATAGCTATGAGTTCCTACATTAAAAACTCAGAGAGAAAACAGTGATGTGATAATTTCCAAGCACATATCTGATGATTCCATGTGGAATTTAACTACTGAGTTACTGGGGAAAACAAATCAGAGAGACCGCAAATAAATAATGCAACGATGCACCTCCAGCTCTTAGAAAAATAAGAATAAGTCAAACCCCAAATGAGTAGATGGAAAGAACTAACAAAGATCAGCATAAAAATTAATGAAATAGAGACTAAAAGGACAACACAAAGAATCAGTGAAACAAAGAGTGGTTCTTCAAAAAGACAAACAAGCTTGACAAACCCTTAGCCAAACTAACCAAAAGAAGGAAAGATAGGACCTAAATCAATAAAATTAGAGATGAAAAAGGGGACATTGAAACAGATACCAATGAAATTTAGAAGGGAATTTCATTAAGGGAGTGTTTTGAAAACTGACACTCAAAAAAAACCTGAACGATGTAGAAGAAATGGCAACTTTCTAGGCACATATGAACTACCAAAATTTAATCAAAAGGAAGCCCTTTACTATTTAAACATCTATGACAAACAATGAGATTGAAGTAGTAATAAAGAGTCTCCCAACAAAGAAATGGCTTGGAGTGGATGGATTCATGGTTGAATTCTACCAGTCCTTTAAAGA